ATCTCTGGGTGCCCTTGCTGGCCCCTTCTCTGCCACGCTCTCTGGTAGGTGTCAAGGATGTAGTAGGAGGGAAGGAGGAAGACTTCTAGAACCTCTCCAGTTTCCCTTCAAAATGGGTTGAAGCCTGTCTTAGTCCATTCGAGCTGCTATCACAAAACACATACTGGGTAGCTTATAAACAACAGAAATTTACTTCTCACAGTTCTGGAGCCTGGAAGTCTGAGATCAGACTTGTGCCTTCATGGCCAGGTGAAGGCCCTCTTCTGGGTTGCAGGCTTCTATACTCACCAGGCAGAAAGGGCTGGGGAGCTCTCTGGGTCTCTTTTGGTAGGGGCACTAATCCCATCCATGAGGGCTCCACTCTTATGACCTAAGCACCTCCCAAAGGCGCCCACCTCCAAATACCATCACATTGGACATTAGGATTTCAACATACGAATTTGGGGGGTGGAAAGGGGGAGACATAAACATTAAGACTGCAGCAGAGCAAGAGTTCCTGCCTCTCTGTTTTCCTCCAGACTTCCATCAGAAATCCCCATGCCTCTTTCCCAATGTTCCCCTAAATTTAGAGGATGACTATGAGTGTGTGTTCACTGCTGGTGAGCCCTATGTTGAAATAGAAAAACATATTTCTCCTGTGTAATATATGTAAACTAGGGCCCCAAGCATGCAGCAGTGGTGTAACAGGAGAGAGAACTCCATCAGAAATAATCCAACCCTATACTTTTCTTCCTTTGGAGTAACATTGTAACAAAATTATTCAGAACAAGAACCCTGAAGCTAGATAACTTACACCCTGATTCTAACACTTACTAGCTGAGTGATTTATCCTTTGTGTGCTTCAGGTAATGGTGTCAACCTAAATCTCTTGTGAGATCAAATGAGTAGTTACATATTAAGTGATTAGAATGTGCATGACACACAGTGCTCAGTAAATCCTAGCTATTAATACAGCTTTAGTTTCCTTCGTGATTTCATCACTGAACAAATGGGTCTCTTTAATTTTAGCAAAAACACAGGAGACTATTATACATTATCATGTCTTTCAGTGCCATTTTAGACAGGCTTTCCTCTGTTTAATTGCTGAAAACATAAAGATGCTATATATTAAGAAATGGACCAAATTTCATATGAGGAAAAAAAGGTAGTCTCAACATATTTTTAGAACACGAACAATCCATTTTCTATAATTGCTGTGCAAGCATGTATTTTTTTGAAAAACCCTTTAATTCCTGGCCTTTACATGGATGAAAAAGAATAGCAGCCTCTTTTGGACTAGTTGAGGCTGGGAAGGAAAAGAATTAAGATGTGGACAGGACATGCTTTGAACACATTGATCTATCTGGAGAACCATCTGAAGAGCCTACTTTGAGAACAAAGATGAAAATGTGAGATTTAGTTCTGGAGTCCCAGATTGCTTCCCTGAGGAGATTCCTGGATTTGTGCGTGCAGGTGGGGCAGGATGATGGTGGGGGGGGGGGGGGGGGAAGGGGGGGGAGTTGGTGATGGAAAGTTACACTCACAAGAAAGAGACTGGACTTACGTTAGTTCTCCAACTTTCTCTACACAAGTGAGTCCTATCTTTTGTTTTATTGGAGTCAGAAAGTTAATAAAAACTTACTGGAATATGAAAAGATGATTAAATATTTATTGAAAATTTAAATGTGATCCTTGAAGGTACTTGTCTTAGAAGTGCCTTACAGGCAGTTTACCTTTATTCAAGGAGAAATCTCTTTTCAGAGCTTTGGGTTTGACACCCCACTTGAGTAATATTCAAATAAAAGTAAAATAGAAAATGCCTCTTAGGAAAGGATGGCCTGGTTTCAGCTTTTCTCCAATATTAATTTAGAGGGCTCATTTTAACATTGCCCACAGGATAAAGTCTAAATTTCTCAGCTCCGCAAGCTGACCTCAGTGCTTTAAAAGCGTCTCCTTCTGCCTCAGCTCTGTAGTCTCTACCCCCATTACTTCTTGTCTGAAGTCAGTGAGTCTATAAAGGCACACCTATTCCCCTGAGTATTTGCTGATTTTTAAATTTGGTTTTATTTTTGTTGAAATTTTGTACATTCTTCAAAGATCAGCCATCTCAGATGATTTCCTCTGATCTCTTCAGATCTGGAATCATTGTTGCTTCTTTGTCCTCTCAATATTTTGTTTGTTCTTCATTCATTGCCCTTCCTTAATTCTGTCTACTGTTTTAGCTAATTATCTGCATCCTTTTAACCATTGTAAACATTTAGCTCCTTGTGGGGCAAAGAGTAAAATGTTCCTCAGTCGCATTTGTATAACCGTATAGTATCATATATATGCCAGAACTCAACAAATATCTATGGAATGAATGAAAAATAAAGACCCACTCAGAAAAGCTCTCAGAATCTTAGAGCATACTTTCCCTCATTTCCCTTGCATGATGTCCCTTTACCTCATGGACATTTGGACTTCTACTTTTGTGTCTATGTATTTCTTCTACGACAGTCTGACTATGGATACTTTTTGCTTGCAACAACCTTATTCAGTATCCTTCAAGATCGGACTCATGCCATCAGCATCATTTGCTGTCCTCACATTTTGTTACAGACAGACTGAATTGTGTCCCAGAAATGGTCTTTCTACATGGAATGCTTTGTTCTTCCCTTTTCCCTCTTCGTCTTCTACTGGCTGACTCTTCCCTCCCAGATTCAGGATAAGAGGTTACTTCTTTCTAGAGATTGTCCCTAGCTCCCCACACCATCTCCAGCCCCAGACTGGCTTAAGCCTTTCTCCCTTATGATCTAGTGTAATAAAGATAAAAAAGATTTGGGTCAAAACCTGATTTTGCTACCTATTGAGCAGTGATTTTAGACCAGCTCCTCTCAAACTTTATCATGCATCAGAATCACCTGGAGAGCTTGTTAAATCAAAGGGGTGTTTTAGGGGCGCCTGGGTGGCTCAGATGATTAAGCGTCTGCCTTTGGCTCAGGTCATATCTCCAGGTCCTGGGATCAGTCCCCGTGTCGGGCTCCTGGCTCAGCAGGGAGTCTGCTTCTCCCTCTCTCTCCGCCTCTTCCCCCTGCTCCTGCTGTCTCTCAGTCTCTCTCTCTCAAATGAATAAATAAAATCTTTATAAAAAGGGGGGAGCGGTGTTTTAAGAATTAATTGAGATAATATATGTAAAGTGTTTGACATGAATTAGTGCTCAATTATCACCAGTTACTATTGTTTTTACATTATCATTGCTTTCATCACACTGTTTTAAATTGCAGACCGAATAGAACGATTGCCAAGTAAACTAGGAAACTCATAATGAGCAGTGACTCTGCCGGTTTTATTATTGTTGTATCACAGGAGTCCTATAAAGTACATTGGTTAGCACTAAATGAACATATAATAAAATACCCTAAAAAAAAAGCATTCAATAAATATTTAATGAAGTGAATTTGGCTGCTTCTTTTGCAGGTAGTTCCTACCCAGACTGTTCCAGGATTCCCTAGTTCAGCTTGCTGTATTTTTGGGTTTTCTTGGGATTGCTTTTGTTGATCGGTTCCCACACCACCTTTGGTTATGGTGAATCAGTCCTCACAGCCTTTGTTTCTAAGATATAACAAGCAACATAGAGAACATCTTTCTGTAAAGAAGTAGAAATAGATAAGCACACGGGCCATTCATTTGGCTCTGCAGTCTGAATTTCATACTGAATGAAAGCAGTTGCAGCAATGTATTTCCCTGCCTTCTGGGCCTGAACATATGCTTGCATTTAACACTGGATATGGGTTAGAAACTAACACGGGGAAAATGTAATTTGGGGTTCTTTGCAAATTCATGAAGCCTCCTTTTTTGGGAAGGCTTTCCTGCTTCTACATTCAGCCTATACCCCCATCCTCCTGTTTGACCTCAGAACCTCATATTTTATGAATACATTCATTATGAATATGTTTCGTTAGTTCAGCAAATATTTTTTTCCAATATCTGCTCTGTGCCAAATACTATTCTGATGATGGTGATACCACACTAAGACAAAGCCCCTGCTTCACAGAACCTAAAGCATGGCATTTACCAACTGGTACAATAATTGTTTGATTCTCTGTCTCCCACGGTATATTGTGCACTTCCTGATGGTGAGTGCACTGTTTAATTGATCTTTGGATATCCAGTTCAATATCAGGTATGTGGTAGGTATTCATACATATGGATTAGTTTTTATACAGAGGGACTCCTTATTATATTGGTGCTGAGAAATAGAACAGAGTGCTGGAGATCATGTATTGCTGGTCCGTGAAAAGATCTGGTGCTAGATTTTTTTTTTTTTTTTTTTTTTACTTACAAAGTGTTGTTTGTCTGAATTTCAATTAGGGCCAACCAATACATAACAATCCAGATTTCTAGCTTCTTTAGAAAAAACCCACGTTTCTGTATTGCACCAATCAGCTGCAGCTCATTCCCACTCAGCCTGCTCCTTAGATGGAGCCTGTCCTCTTCAGTTCACTGTAACAATTTCCTACTGTATTACATGTGTGTATGTGGATATGGTATTGTATTTGTTTGCATAGATGTTTGGTGACGAAAGAGCAAAATTCTTCAGATTCTACGTAAATCCACTGAAAGTTTGTATTTACAAGCTTATGAAAACCTGCCTTCAACTGGAAATACCCTATTCCTTTTTTTTCTTCTTTAGAGAGGAATGCTAACAAGGATTGGCTTTTGTTTGGAACATGTAATATATTGGGTCATCAGTCTAAATTTTATCCAAGGTGTTCTCTGCAGTTTCATAGTGGGTCTCCTGTCTTCCTCAAATTATTTAGACGATTGCCAGTTACTCTTCTACTGAGAAGTGTATCCCAGGCCAAAGTAAAAATACATAAAAATCTATCCGGTTTGGATTTTTTTTCCCTCCTTTATGATTATTGAACTAACACAATTTATTTGGTTTGGTTTTGTCATATGACATTAGACACTTTTAAAAACCATAAAATTGAGTTAAAATGATAGTTTACCAAACTAAATATGTTTATGCTTTGTTTCAGCTATCCTTAAAAAGAAGAGGAAGCAAAGATTTGCCAAAATCTGAAAAAAAGACTCAACAGACTCCCACAGAGGTATGTGGAAATAAAATTTCAACTAGTACATCAAACGCCTCTAAATGTATTTAATAATAAGCTACATCTGTAAGTGGACATAGTAGCCAGATGCACTCATGTAAAAAATGTTTAATTATGCATATTCTTCTGTAGCTGTAGATACAGGCAGTATAAAGCATTCATTGTCTTTTTTTTTTTAAGATTTTATTGATTTATTTGACAGAGAGAGACACAGCGAGAGAGGGAACACAAGCAGGGGGAGTGGGAGAGGGAGAAGCAGGCTTCCCGCGGAGCAGGGAGCCCGATGTGGGGCTCGATCCCAGGACCCTGGGATCATGACCTGAGCCGAAGGCAGACACTCAGCCATCTGAGCCACCCAGGCGCCCCTAAAGCATTCAGTGTCTTTGTTTATAAAGCTAACACTAACACCCCTATTATTGCTTTTGTGGTGTGAGCACACGGCAAAATGCCATTAGTACCTTATGTGTTGCTATGTTTGACAACTGTATGCATAGTGCTAATCTTCTTCACTCATAATGAATAAGGTCAATAGAATGGCTGTTCCTATAGGATCAGGAGTGAGTAGAGAAAGGAATGCTGTAGGAAGGGATGGTGAGGGAAGCAAGAGGCTTGTGATGAGAAGGCCCTAGAAGAAGTAATTCTCTATGCCAGTGATTGGGGAAGCAAAAGCAAGGAAACAAATAAAAATAAAACTTAAAGCATGTACTAAGGGATGCCTGGCTGGCTCAGTCAGTGGAGCGTGTGACTCTTGATCTCGGGGTTGTGGGTTTGAACCCCAAATTAGGTGTAGAGATTCCTTAAAAATAAAATCTTAAAAAAAAAGAAAAAGATATATTCAACCTGGGCTTGTTATGAACTTTAGAAACACAGCCGCAGTAAAGACTAGCTCTGCTTTCAGGATGAGCAGAAGGTGCTGATGCATGTAATGAGGGAGAATTTAAGGCAGAAGAGGAAATATTTGGGGGGCATTGTGGCAAGTGACATTATGGCTCTCCAAGAACACCTGGCTAGTTATTGACTTTTGCATGCATCATTTGGAATCTCATACTATAGCATACCTTTTTTTATTCTTACAAGTTGTTTTCTCATTAAATAATAATTTTAACTAAAGCAATATTGAAATATCCAAAATTTGGAAAAGTTGGTGTCAATTTTTTTAAAAACACAACATATTAAATGGGTTTTTTTGAAGATTTATTTATTCATTTTAGAGAGAGAGCATACAAGTGGGGGGAGGGGCAGAGAGCGAGAATCTCAAGCAGGCTCCCTGCTGAGTGCAGAGAGCAGCGGGGCTCCATCCCACCACCCAGGAGATCATGACCAGAGCTGAAACCAAGAGTCGGATGCCTCAACCGAATGAGCCACCCAAGCACCCCATAAAACAACATCTTGACTGCTTATCTTCCCTTTTCCTCTCTCTTTCTGCTTTGTTCTTGGTTAACTTTTCTCCTGGTACTGGCACAAGGACATCAAGAAGCGTCAGCAGTTCAAAAATCCCAGAGAGTCTCAGAGCAAGATCATTACTCCATTTTTTTATTTTTCTCATCGTTCTCTTACCAAGTTCAAAGAGGCTTTGTCACTACAGCTTTCTCACTCTGCCTTTGCCGTAGCTTTCACCACCTTCTGTACATATTTTGCTGTGGATCATTTCACATGTTGCCATCAGTTCTTTTCTCCACCTCATTGATGGAGAAGGGGCTATATGCTCACTGTTCTAAAATCCTAAGTCAGCTTTAATCAGCAGTTTTTTCCTTTTAAAACTCACGTTTGGCCTATTCTTACACTTCCCATGTTAAAGTTTATTTATTTTTGCAGCAATAAGCTCTTATCCAGGAATGTTTAAGAGTTTGTTTCTAGCTCTATGACCCTCCCACTCTATGTGCATGGGGGCACCTCTCTGCAAGCCTTCATCAGTTTCCTAGCGGGACCTGGGACCCTACAACAGTCAAGAAACAGTGCAGTCCATCAGTTTTTATTTCATGGCCCAAATGTCTGGGAAATTTATAAGTGTGCTCTTGTGGCCATGGGGGTCCCTGCTAGTGTTTCCAGTTCATTTATTTTCAGAGATTATTACCTGTAGTTTTTAAAAAACCCACCCCAGCAGTTTGACCGGGACTGTCTTGGATGGGAGATCTCAATTATAAAGTAGTCTGCAGATGATTTTATCGCTCAATCAAGGTTGAGGACCATTGATTCTTAGATTACGGCAAGCCTCCCCTTCTATTGTTTACATATTCATCTCCCATACTTGGTCAGGGCAGATTGTCATCATGGGTCATGTTACTCAGCTTTGACTTGTCCGTGGTCTAGTGTCTGATACTGCAACATGTTCAGTATGCACTTTTGAATACTGCCGTGTTTCCTTTATCTAGGTTGAGCCACATGAAACTGCCAACATGCTGTGATTTTGACCTATGCAAATGGCAGTTCCATATGGTTCCACCTACTGTTATCTGTTCGGCTTCGTACTTCATTTTTATTTGGTTTAGCTTCTTTGATGTATTATTTACATGTTCCTTCAGAAGCACAGTGACTTTATTTACTGCGAAATGGTGTCACACAGCATTTAAGAGCAGTGTGATACTCAGTGCCAGCTGTATGGCCTTACGTGACTTACTTATCCTTTCCATGCCTTTGTTTCCTCGTCTGTAAAACGGGATCATAATAGAGAGTTGTTGTATTTATTAAATGAGTTTAATGCATGCAATTCATTAGGAGTGCAATTTAGCATCTAGTAGTGGCTAAATCAAAGCTGGGCTCAGCTTACTTCTTTTAGCCCCTCATCATCTTTATGTTTCCCTTCATCACATGTCATTCGTATCTTCTTAAGAGTGAGTCTTTAACATACACAAAAATAAGAGACAACTTGCTTCACATCTGGAAGCATTGTAATGTTTCTTTCCTAGCATTCGCTGTAGAAAATAGGAGCAAGCAGGTACTGCCCAGTCATTGTCAACCAGGCACTTTCCATACCATCTCGATTTAACGTTTTTAGCGTTTATATTCAGTATTTCCATGCTCAGTTGCAAATGCAGCTATAATCCTTAGGTTTCAGGCTGTGTATGCAGGGCGCATTGCCTAGGGGGTTCTTAAGTTCCTGGTGTTATAGAAACTATCACACTTTGTATATTGAAAAGATTTCTTTTTAAACAAATACAAAATAATTACTATGGTGCCCATCATTCTCCTTCATAGTGACTTTCTTACATGTAGTATATGTCCACGTCTTAAAATAAGGTTTATGTTTTCATGCCTTTAAGACAGGAGAGTTTACATATACACAAATCAGGTAGCCTTCTCTTTTATGTTTGCTTCACATAGCCTAGTGAGGTGTGATTCTGCTCCAGTCTGTGACTTAGACCACATCCAGTGCTATTTTGGTTAGATTCACACTGCAACATTTTACTAACTTTTTTTTTACTAGCAAATAAAGGCCTAGCCTTGCAATCAAGGAGTTCTACCATACACGTAGCCCAACCTAACTTCCCAGTCTCCCCTACTCTTACTTCCTAACAAAAACTAGTTTATGGAAAAGCATACTGGACTTGCTTATTGCTGGTCACCTTTCTATTCAAACAATGTTTCTAAGTCCTGCATGATATTTGACTCTCCTGCCCTTCCACAACTTTAACCATTTCTTATGTGTCTCTCTTTCTTTTCTTCTTCTCTTCAGTTGCTTTCAAAACCACTGCTATGACATCAACCATCACCTCTATTTTTTTTTTTCAACCGTCACCTCTATATATCTCATTCTCGTGTCCTAAGGACCTGAACTGTCTACAGAGTCAGAGGTGTAATCTTTGTAATCGTGGGCCTAAGATTCCACCTGCCTGTTGATAGATGTTTCCACTAAATATCCCCTCCACTGACACACCTCAAAGACAGTATTTTAATACACTTAGACCCATCTTCTTTGTTCATTCTCTATCCCTGTCATTAGCAGCCCCATCCATCAAGACGCCTAAGCTGGAAACATCAGGGTTATCTTTGAGTCTTCCGCTGATGTGATATTAAATATTGTTATGTGTCCTTAGTTTCATACTCACTGAATTAGTTTGAGGGCCCAGCACATAGTCTCTTGTAGAGCAGCTTCTCTCTTCCCTTGTGAAATGGATTTTCATGCCAAATCTTTCTGTAAGATACATTCTCCTTCTTCTCTCTCACTGTGCTCCTGGGAATTCTCTCATCTCTTCTCTCTGCTTCTGTCCTTTCTTCTAAACCCCTTCTAGAGGAAAGTATACTAGCCAACACATCCAATTTCTTTTATTTTACCCCATTGCCCTACTTTCCTTCTCTTCTGCTGCTTTTCTAGAAGGAACACATACAGTAGAAAGAATAAGTTTTAGAATCGGTCTGGATCCGGATGTGCTCTGTCACTTATTAACTTGTGCTCTACCAAGTTAATCAACCTTTCTGACGCTCATCTGCCTTATCTATAAAGTAGACCTAGATCACCTTCCTCACAGGGCTCATGTCAGGGTATAATGATATAAAGAATGTGACAGTCAGGCTCTGTGCGCTCAGCAGCTCTCAACCCTTCCATACTAATTCTCATTAGCAGAAAGGAGGACGGGAGACCTGTGCCCTGCTCTCCACATCTTCCATCTCAAAGGCTCTGGGCCATATTTAATGAGCAACCCTGGAAGAAGCTCATTATTTTCACTACCAGTGGTTGCTGCTACTTTACTACAATTCATCTCAAACATAGCTGACTCATTGCTGGGCAAGGAAGGCATTTTTATTTCCATTTAAAAAATGAGGAGGGGCGCCTGGGTGGCTCAGTCGGTTAAGCGTTTGCCTTCAGCTCAGGTCATGATTTCAGGGTGCTGGGATCAGGTCCCCTATATGGCTCCCTGCTCAGCAGGGAGTCTGCTTCTCCCTCTGCCTCTGTCCCCCTGTTCCCCACCCCCCTCCGCCTGCTCATGTGCTCTCTCTGTCTCAGATAAATAAATAAAATCTTTAAAAAAAATATTTAAAATGAGGAAACCAAAATCCATAGAAGTTACACCGTTGACTCAAAGTACATACTTAAAAGAGAATTTGGGGAAATTGTCCTCAGGAAATGTGTCCTTGGGCATAATAATGTAGTTTGATATTAGTTAGCTCTCAGCAAGTTGATTTCCAGTTTTTGTTTGTACTTTTCAACTTAGTCAATGATTAGTGTTTGCAGGATGTCCTAAGAATTGTGAAAAGAGCTTCTATAGGATCTACTCCATCATCCATTTACCGGGCAGAACCAACTTTATTCATTTCAGACTGTTGGGAATGTATCTTTTTTTTTTTTTTTAAAGCGATCCGGATGAAACACTTGCCAGTTTCTCCTTGGATGGGCCATTCCAGTGTTAAATTTTCCTTACTTTAAATAAGGCCTTTAAATAAGCCATTCTGCCTTGAATACAGATGAAGAGATTGCTTTCTTTGCTCTTTCGCCTCTTTCGGAGCTATTATGAGCCTTAGAGTCAGACAGAACTGAATTCAAATTTCACCTTTGTCTTTTGCCACTTAATAGCTCTGTAACCTTGAAAAAGTTATGGAGTAGCTTTAAACCAGGTATTTTAATATCTGTTACTAAGTTTACTCTAAACATTAAATTAGGTCGTACGTGTAAAGAACTTTACAGAAGTTGGCTGAGAATAGGTGCTCGATAAATGGCAGCGTGTTCCTTCCAGGGAACAGGTTTCACATTTATTACAGTCAGGGGAATTCAAATCATGTAAAAAACAAAACATACAAAAGGAACATTGTTGAAATGACAGCCCCACGGTTGTGCTCAGTTACAACACATAATGGTCTCTGGATAGTGATGACCATAGTGTTTCTCTTTTTATATTTCTTTCTCTCTCTGTTTCCAGGATGTGATATTGTCTTCATCTTTTATCTGCCAAGTAATTTAAACAATTTGTAGAAAATATACAGCATCTACTGCTCTCTCTCTCTCTCTGGGTCTCATTGAATCTTAATTACAAGAAAAAGCAATTATTTTTGCAGGTGTACTTTTTTTGTTTTCTTGATTTACATAAAAATGATCTCTTACCCTCTTACCCTCTTTTTCCCAAATGAGGAGGATAATGAGGATCTGAAATGCCAGCTGCAGTTCGTGAAGGAAGAAGCTGCTTTGATGAGAAAGAAAATGGCCAAGATTGATAAAGAAAAGGACAGATTCGAACACGAGCTTCAGAAGTACAGATCCTTTTATGGAGATCTGGACAGTCCTTTGCCCAAAGGAGAAGCCGGGGGGCCTCCCAGCACCAGGGAGGCTGAGCTCAAGCTGCGGCTGAGGCTGGTGGAGGAAGAAGCCAACATCCTGGGCAGGAAGATCGTGGAACTGGAGGTAGAGAACAGAGGCCTGAAGGCAGAACTCGACGACCTGAGGGGGGACGACTTCAACGGCTCGGCCAACCCCCTCATGAGGGAGCAGAGCGAATCCCTGTCGGAGCTGCGGCAGCACCTGCAGCTGGTGGAAGACGAGACGGAGCTGCTGCGGCGGAACGTGGCCGACCTGGAGGAGCAGAACAAGCGCATCACGGCGGAGCTCAACAAGTACAAGTACAAGTCCGGCGGCCACGAGAGCGCGCGACACCACGACAGCGCCAAGACCGAGGCCCTGCAGGAGGAGCTGAAGGCGGCACGCCTGCAGATCAACGAGCTCAGCGGCAAGGTCATGCAGCTGCAGTACGAGAACCGCGTGCTTATGTCCAACATGCAGCGCTACGACCTGGCCTCGCACCTGGGCATCCGCGGCAGCCCCCGCGACAGCGACGCCGAGAGCGACGCGGGCAAGAAGGAGAGCGACGACGACTCGCGGCCGCCTCACCGCAAGCGCGAAGGGCCCATCGGCGGCGAGAGCGACTCGGAGGAGGTGCGCAACATCCGCTGCCTGACACCCACCCGCTCCTTCTACCCGGCGCCCGGGCCCTGGCCGAAGAGCTTCTCCGACAGGCAGCAGATGAAGGACATCCGCTCGGAGGCCGAGCGGCTGGGCAAGACCATCGACCGGCTCATCGCCGACACTAGCACCATCATCACAGAGGCGCGCATCTACGTGGCCAACGGGGACCTGTTCGGACTGATGGATGAGGAGGATGACGGCAGCCGCATCCGCGAGCACGAGCTGCTCTACCGCATCAACGCGCAGATGAAAGCCTTCCGCAAGGAGCTGCAGACCTTCATCGACCGCCTCGAGGTGCCCAAGTCTGCGGACGACCGCGGCGCCGAGGAGCCCATATCCGTGAGTCAGGTACAGTTCTGCCTATTGCGAGCCACGGCGATGGCGAGGCTGGTCCGCGGATTCGTGGTCCCTGATGGGGCGTCTCCGCGCACCGACCTCCACGCCCCGCTTTAGGGAAGTCCCCGGTCAGAGCCTCACTGGGCTTCGGAGCCCCAGAGCACACCTGTTCTCTCACGCTCTCCTTCAGGCCTCAGGTTTTCGTAACCCACTTAGGAACTCCCTCCCCTCTGTTTTGTTTAAAAAGGAAATTGACACACACACACCACCCGCTCAGTTTTTGTGTAAAGATTAAAGGATCTTTAAGATACATTATTTATTTGTCAATATGTTCCGTATTACTTTACTGAGTCTAATGGATCAAGCTGCAAGAAGATCCCAGATGGGAATCTTTAATTATGTATTTGCAGGTTTTAAACCAAGATTGAAATTGAGTTTAAAATTTTTTTAAATGTTTTAAATATCCAGGATTATTGTATAACTACTGACAAATGCACAAACCAGCAGTCAAGAGAGAGGATATTGTGTCTAGGGCCCTACCAAAAGGAACAAATGGAAGTCACTCCTTTACCACAAGTGGAAATAACAGAATCATTATTTCTAGAAAAAAAATAATCACTGCCGACTCTCTAGTGGAGACTCTCAGGACTGGGGAAGGAGTGTTAATACTTTAACTTTAATGCAACACTGATTCAGAGAAATAGTAATAACTATTCCCGAACAGGGAAAACCAGCATTTTTTCCTTCATCCTAATTTGTAGAGGCACAACTGATGAATTGGACTGAGCTGCTCTAGCCAGGTATGGTGGCCAAAGACCCATGCATTTTGTCAGAATTAACCACATAAGAGAGAATTTGTAGAACATAATGGGCAGCGCTACCTCTCTGGCAAACCTCCTGTCCTGTATCGATTGGAGAACCCACGGAAGTACAACAGCATGCATGGCTTTTAAGACACACAAGAGATTTAAACTTAAAAATCAGTGTAGACGCAGAAGCATGACATTAAATTAACTGCCTGTTAGTCACAACTAGAAAATTGCAACCCTTTTGCTTATTTACATTGCATGTTGCTCTGCTTTGCTATAAAAAAAAAAGGTTTATGATAAAACTTGTTGAATTTTGAAATGTTAAAGCTTATTGTTTCTCTAATTATGTCAAATGGTTGGTTTTTAGTTTCCTTGTAGCAGATTTTTGAATATTTGAAGCTTGTGGGTTTTCAGTTATACCATCAGGGAAAAAAATAGGAATCAGAGTGAGAGAAAGCACTGTGTATAATAATAGATTATTATCTATTATCTATCTCTAATAAAATAAACAGATTTTGTAAATACAGGCTTAAGGGAGGGTTCTTCTTCATCTTAAATTGATTGGATGCTTAGATTAGTTAATATAAATTTAAGTTTTAAAAATTATTATTAATTAACTCTTCTCTTTGTCTCTGCATTTACCTTCCCAGATGTTCCAGCCTATCATTTTACTTATTCTCATTCTTGTATTATTTTCATCACTTTCTTACACAACAATATTTAAACTTGTCTTCCTTTTTACACTATTTTTTGTACTGTAAATCTTTCATCATTTACCATTCATTGTAGTATTTTCAGTTTGTTTATTTTGTTCACCCTTCAAGACAAGAAGTAAAAGAAGTATAATTTCTGTAATAATCAATGCTATAAAAACACTGAAGACTGCTTATTTCTTTAAAAAGACACATCTTACCACTACCAAATTCAATAAGAAGCCCAAGCATTAAAATATTTCAGGTAAGCAAGTAATTGTGACTTTTTATATAAATCTTTTTAATTTTTGCTTCTTTCTTTTACATCTTAATCTGCACTCTTCTTGATAAATAATTATGACTGTAAAAATTGACTAAATCTTTCAATTATTTCTCAGTAGTTGACTATTATGATAACTGAAAAGCTGGACATTCACAAGATGGTCACATTTCAAAATATAGATAGATGGACTTATAAAGATCTTTGCTAGGTTGCATCAGACTAACAAGATAGTTTTGAAATCCAGTAAATGTTAGCAAAAATTATGGTGAATGAATGAAATGTGACCATCATGGAAAGTAAGCAACTCGTTGTGATGCTTGCTGTTGGTATTCTGTTTAAAAAAATGTGTTTGGGAGCTAGAGAGTGGATTAGGCCTTAGTTCATTGAGAAAGTGATTATATCTCTCCTACTGCATTTGACCAGCTCTAAGCAAAAGAGCCATTTCTGCATTTACCTACTATACCTGGATATTTGTTGCTGATAAAATTTGTTGCCTGGAGTTCTGTCCTCTAATAGATTATCACACAGAACTGCTTCCAGAGTAGGGAAAAAGTAGTCATTCTCTAGAATTTCATTAAGTCACAATCTGAGGCCAGTGGCATCATTCCACTGGGAGTTGCTCTCTAGGTATAAACTCACTTTGGTGAACCTGAGCATCTCCCTTTCTCCTCATCCCTAAAGTGGCGTGGATAGGTTCCATGTACCCAAAATGTCCTATTCTGTCCATCTTGTTGACAATTTACCCAGTGGAAAACTGGAATGCACCACTGCCATCAAGATTCAGAAATACCAACACTCATGGAAGTCATGCACTCAGAAATGCTTTGCTGGTTGGCTGGTGGATATGAAAATCTGTGGTAAAGTGAGGTATCTTGTGCCTCAGCATCAAGAATAATATGTGGAAAAACTTTGCTCTACTATGAAAGTTGGTTCTGGAAACAATCTCTTGAGCCCTCCTCCCCCAGTACCTCCATTTTTCCCTTTGAGTAGTAATTTTTTAAAAAAGAAAAGATAACCCTTCACAATTGTTGAGAATTCAGTTTAAAATAACTGTTCTTCGTCTCCATGTTGTTATTTACATGTTTGGGGGGGGTTGTTTTGTTTTGTTCTGGAGGGAGGAGAGACCAGAAGTGAGAAACTGTTAGCCAACTGTTGGAATCTGTCACTATCTACTTGGCTTTTCGTCTTAGAGATTCAAAAGGCTAGGTAGCACTTTATGACAAAAAGAAATTAAATCATCTAAGTGCTGTATTTAATCAATTGTTCCACTTTTTACTTTTTTAAAAAAAATTATCTCAGGGAGAGCAACCACTTTAAAAATCAAAGTCTGTCTGTTAGATCCTTGGTTAAGCCTCCAGACCGCCATCTTAGGGGACCATTTTGGTAACAGAACTGAAAGTCAGTGTCTGATGGCTGAAGTTTACCTGAAATGTTTATTGCCATTGAAGCCACATACACCCACCTAAGCAATGTTTCTCAGCTACCTGTGGAACATTTGGTGGTTTATGGAGGTGTTGTAGGTGGTCAAAATGACTGGGAAGCCCTAATGGCAGTAAGAGGAAAGGAGTCAAAATCTCAAATAATTGTCCCACCAAAATGGTTAATATTGTCCCTCTGATGAAGCATGGGATGCAGTGCACCTGTTCACTTCAGAAGTATCATGGATATTCACCACCCTGTGTGGCTCTAAGAAACAGGCTTCAGAATTGTTAACTTTCTTTATCATGAAAAAAATCAAGAACTCAGTATCTTTCTCAGTGGTTTTCAATCCTAGCTGCACACCAGAATTCCTGAGATGTTTCTAGAATTGAGCCCCTACCTCACCAAGTGAATTTTTGAATCCAGGCATTTGTATTTTCTTAAACTCCCAAGAACCATTTCTTTAGATGTTTGAGTTGTCTAAAATATGTATATGCAGCCTGTGCCAAGGCTGCAGCAAGCTATGTGAGGCCAGCTGTATAGAATCCTGAGCCACCTAGGTTTCAGTAGACCTTAAAGTTTCCACCGTTCACTGGATGTCCACAACCTCTCTAGAGCATTTCCATCTTTGTTATTCGGCCTTTGCCTCTAATGACAAAGCAGTTCTAATTCCACAGTGGTGCAATGTTAGAAAACTCTCCTTTCATTAATACAGGTTCTCTAAACCAACAAAAGCAGAGACGACAAATAGGAATAATACATGACAGAAAGGAGGACCAAGATGAAAAGTGCATGGGTGCAGGGTCATGCACACACCTGCAGGTGTAGGCACATGCACACCCTCAGTTAGAGCCTCAAGATGACCACACACACACACACACACACACACACACACACACACACACACACCCTGGCAATCCACATTTTGTGGGTATGTATACAGTTATTGATGCCACAAAGCTTTCCATGTGGTGTGCCACAAATCCTCTGGGAATGATGGGTGCCGGCTGACTCTGCTGTCCAAACCGAGATGAGAAGGCATATACAAGAGGTGTGAGAATGCAGCAGAAATACAGAGCATGGATCCCTGTGCATTTAACAAACATTGTAATGTGGTGGCTGTTAGGTGCAGACAAAATGAATTTCGGTGTTTACTCTTTTTAGCACGTTCAGTTGGTTGATTGACCCGGATGGGCATGTAAACAGCTAACTCTAGGAGATACTCTTACCGAAGTGTAAAAACAAACAAACAAAAAGGCTCGTGGTTGCAATTTATTTTTATTGAACACCTGATAGCATGTTGGATTTGCCTAAGAAAACAATAAAATCCCAAGACATTCTTGCATGGAATGATACCATAAATAAATAAATAAATACAGGGGTGCTGCTTATACCTCAACAATATCCTGTGGCCTGAATAAGAAAGGAGAGGCTAACCAAGGGAAGTCTGGGCTGATCAAAACACCGGCCCCCTCTTTAGATCTCTTGTTAGTAATTAAAGTCATCCTGGCGACAGGGATATTAATCTTACCTATGAACTTCTAAGGCATTGGTTTTAGAGAAGAATTCATAAGAATCTTGAACTTCCATCCAGGCACTCCATATATGGAACCCCAGGAAGAAATTGAGGAGGGGAAACAGGACTGACTTGCCTACTGCTCCCAGCTTCTGGGGGAGTTGGGGTCACTCTGACAGCTTCTCTGAAGTTAGGCAACTTTACCATATGGTTGAATTCCAGGGAGACTCTTTCCAACTCTACCCTACCCACTGCATAGCCCACTTTCCGGTTTGTGCCTGCATGTAAGCACACACCTCTCCCACACTGTTGTGTACAGTGAGACATGCATCCAGAATCAAGGAGTTCAGACCTGCCTCTATCTCATGGGACTGCTGAGGGGCCAGTATTTGGGAGGTGGTCTTAGCAAACTGCCAGGAAGCACAAAGCAACCTTGCCGCTTGCTGCCTTCTCCCTGGAACTTCAAGCTGTTCTATGGGTACCCGCAGTTTGTGGTTCATTTCTCCCTTACATCACAGACTACAGATGTGGGAACAGAAGTTAACAAAGATGGTACCCAAGACCTCAGAAAGAGCGTCCCCTGTATCTTCTTCCCCTCCCCTTTGATCCTGTTACTTGCTTTATCTTCGTTGTACGAAGCTAGTTCTAAAAGAGGAACACCCAGGTTTCTTTGTTCATTGAGAGAACAAAGTCTCCCAATTACTGAGACAAGGAATTTTCTCCTATTTGTACCTTTGAAGCTGTGCTATTTAAACATGACACTGAAGAGAAATAAAAGGAAAAAAAAACCTTATTGTAGAAAATTCCCTTGCATGCACATTCTTGGGCGTAGGGAGTGTCTTTGGTAATTTGGCCTGGATTTAAGAAAAAAAATTTAGTTGGCTATTTTTAAGCATAACTGACTCAAACTCATAAAACAAAGGAAAATTCAGTGCTGAGCCTGGAATGTGTATTGGCCTGCATTCTGCAACCTTCATTTCAATCCGTGTGGTAGAGTTGCGACACGGTTATTTAATCAGCTGCCAGTGAAGTTTGGTATGTCAATTTGGTAGTGAAGCCCTAACTCCAAATATTCATGCACTGCTTGTAGCTCTATTGCTGTAGAACGCCAGCCCACTTTCATCTGGTTGTCATGCTTTGGGTCAGATGCTCTAACCGAAGGTAAGGATTAAAGTGAAGGTGGTGGAGGATGATATCAGAAAGTGAGAAAAGCTGTCCTACAATGTTGATTTTCTGTAGTCTCTGCTGAGTGTTTGAGTTGAGCTGCTATGTATCTGTGTTAACAAACAAGACTCGCTACATGATTATCAAAGGCTAGCAAATAACATTTGTCCCTTTCTGAGGTGGTCCAACATAATGTACTGTGAAAGTCAGCACTTCAGCTCTTTAAATTCATGTTGAAAGTACCTTCTTAACCTATGCGTTTGAAAATTAAGAGGGTGTGAGGGGCAGAGAGAACCTCATCAGTTTGCCCACTGGCCTCAAATGCTCAAATGGCTTAGTAATGGAAGAGAATTTAAGAGCTTTTTTTTTTTTTTAAATACCTTATAGAGTCTGTTATTTCTTAAAGTCAGAAAACTCAGTTTAGCATCTAGTTTATAATTTCCTTTCTTCTTTTTCATGAATATGTGCAGCTTTTGCACAATCCATGTCATTTCCGCTGTATCATGAGTTCCTGGACAGATAAAACAGAGCTCGACTTTTTAAATAGAACAACCTATGTGTCAGCCTAAATCAGTCACTTAGAACTTCAGAGGCGGAATGTAACATAACAAGTCAGCAGAATTAGTTTATTCTGGATTTTAGGTGACTCTTAGGAATCTGAGCTCCTTTACCTGGAAGAAAAAAAGA